CAACAATAACAAATAGTGCAGGAATAAATAAATAATAAATAGCAAAGCAAAGAAATCAGTAGTTGACAGGAGGGAAGGCCTGTAGATGTACATCCATGTTTTCAGTTGGCATTTGAAAGTACCCAGCGTTGGGGCCTTGCGAATTTCCAAAGGAAGGTTGTTCCAAAGGCGAGGAGCCACCGCCGAGAAGGCCCGGCTTCGTGTCTTTTCCCTCTGTGCGTCCCTCGGCGTCAGCCTCGTCAGCCTCACCTCCTGACTCATGTGGGTGATCCGAGTAGATCTTGGTGGGAGCAGGCGCTCCGCCAAGTATCAAGGTCCTAAACCGTTTAGGGCCTTGTAGGTAAGCATTAGAACTTTGAAGTCAGTGCGGAAACGGATGGGCAGCCAGTGCAGTTTGGCCAGAACAGGAGCAATATGTTGGTTTTTTCTCACTCCAGTAAGGTGTCTGGCTGCTGCATTCTGCACCACCTGAAGTTTCCGCATCAGCCTCAAAGGTAGCCCCACGTAGAGCACGTTACAGTGGTCTAGTCTTGAGATTATGAGCGCATGTACCAAGGTAGTGAGCGCCCCCATGTCAAGGTAGGGTTGCAGCCAGGCAATCTGCCAAAGGTGGAAAAAGGCGGTACGAACTACCGACACCACTTGGGTTTCCATGGTTTTTGTATTTCTTGGAGATATCCCCAACTTTGAACTGAACTTTTAATTTGCTCATGTATGAAATTGGTTTGAAAGTCTCATGGGAAAGATGGTTTAAGTGACTTGCCACAGTTAAATGTTGCTAATCGATTAGATGCCAGGGTGCATATCTGGTCATGTGTCAGATTCTGCAACCAGGATTTTTCCTGGCACCTTGTCTATTAACTACACTTTGTCACAACAGTTATAAAATAGAATAGAATTTACTTTATTGTCGCTGTACTTCTGTACAATGAAATTAAATGCCATCTCCAATACACATAATAAAAACACAAGAACATAGCATCGATAACATAAAAACATAGCACATTACACATGAAACTCATCCCTTTCATTCACATCCACATCCTTCACATCCAGTTTCTCATCACACAATACATTAATATTGCACTATATAGTGGAATTCAGTATAGCTGCAGCTCTGGGATAGAAACTGTTTTTCAACCTAATTGTCTTTGTTTTAATTATCCTATACTGCCTACCAGATGGTAACAACTGACAGAGGGAATGGCCTGGGTGTGATGGATCTTTGAGAATATTTTGGGCTTTCTTAAGACAGCGGGAATTATAGAGATCTTCCAAAGAGGGTAGTCATTAATCCTCTGGGCCATTGTAATAATTCTCTAGAGTATTTTCCTATCTGCCATTGTACAGTTAGCAAACCATATACCAGAGCAATAGGTTAAATACACGAATGCACATCTTACATGAATACCAGTAGAATTTTTGCCCGTTTCTTAGTGTTATGTTTAAGTTAGAATATATAATTTTAATATTGATATTTATTTTTAAATGGTGTTCATAATTTTAGTCATTAAAAAAATACATTACCTCTAAACACCAGACATGACATGCAGCAATGCTGTCTGGGTAATTCAAACTGGCTCATGCATAAATGCAGCCAACCTGAAATGTTGTAACAATGTGGCATATGTTACCACATTTGCATCTTTGGGTTCATGGGACAAAACAATGCTTAATGACATTAACATATGTAACCAAGCAGAACTTTCTCTGTATATATATTTGGGGCATCAAAGTATATGACTTCTGTAGATAGCATGAACTGCCAACCTAAAGTAATAAGGATACAAAACATAGTTACTGTAGTTTTTTTTAACTAGAGTACTGTACTAGATCCCACCAGATGTCAGTTGATATAACTTGAATAGATTAGTATTGTCCTGGCTCAAAGAAAAGATGTGAATAGTTTAGGATGTAAAATCTGCTGCTACATCTTTTTGAGTTATGATTGTTTTACAACCATTTTATGCCTAACATCCATCATTGCTTTTACTTTAGTTGTATACTGAGCATTGCAGATATGTATGGACTAGAGGGTCTGAAAGAAGTAGCTATATATGTTCTGAAAAGAGACTACTGCAACTTTTTTCAAAAGGTATGTTCTAATTATTCATTTAATTTTCCTGTGATAAGAACCAAATGGCCCAAACTTCTTGGGATCCATTATTGAATTCTGGTATTGCAAATTAGAAAGCTGAGCTGAAAAGCTCTTATGATGTAGTCCGTAACTGTATTGAATAAGCTAAGATTGCCAATAGGAGTATTAATATAGCATATTTCAATTTATTAGAATTGAGAAGGGTTTTTGTTTTGCAGGCAACAGGATAAAAATGTTTTGAACGAACAGTCTTTGTAAGGAATTTTAACACAGCTAAAAGGAATTGTATTTTCTTTGGAAATAAATAGGGTAGTTTTGTAGAATGTTAATTCTGAGAATGCTTTTTGATCAGCGGCCTTCGAACTATCTGCGTTGGAGTTTAACAGGAATTCCTCAGTAAAAAGATCAGTAACAATGAGCAGGTAGCTTTGATAAAAGAGAAGACACCTTGCCCATTGCTACTGATCTTTTCCCATACACTGTAAATCCATAGAAAAGTGGCTGCAGCAGTGTTCCAGGATACCCTTTTGCTTTGTTGAAAGAGGTTGACTGTTTGATTCAGGTGAGTGGGTTGTTATATTACATTGACTGCACAGATGCCATGCATATATATCAGTCAAAATCCAAATAAGCAAGATGAAATGGAACGAAAAGAAAAAAACATTGTGGCACCTTAAAGATTACAGTGGTGCCTCCACTTACGACCATGATCCGTTCCAGAATATGGACATAACTCAAAATGGTTGCAAGCTAAAGCACCATTTCCCACAGGAATGCATTGAAATGCAATTAATCAGTTCCAGCCAAAGGAAAAAAAATCATAAAAAAAATCACTGCAAGACTCATTGGAAATGCAACTAATCCATTCCGGCCAAAGGGGGGGGGGAAGAAAAGCAATCAAGTGTGCAAGACCCATTGGAAATGCACAGAAAACAAATGGAGCAGATTGGAAATGCACAGAGAACAAAGGGGGCAGGTCGGAAAGGCAAAAAAAGGAAAAAGCAAGGGAAGCATACAGGACCCCTCAGAAATAGGGGAAAACTCCCCAAAAAGCAACCAAACCCCCCAAGACTTATCAGAAATGGGGGGAACCAAAAAAACAAGCAAACCCCCCAAGATCCATCAGAAATGTGGGTGGACAAAAACACAAACCCCCGAAGACCCATCAGAAACGGGAAAAAACACCAAAAAGCAACCAAGCCCCCTAAGACCCATCCAAAATTTGGGGGGGGGGACAAAAAAACAACCCCCAAGACCTATCACAGCACAGAAACATAACCCCCCAGCTCAAAGGTAAGCTAAGGTAAGGTTCCCCTTGACAATTTTTGTCCAGTCGTGTTCGACTCTAGGAGGCGGTGCTCATCCCCATTTCCAAGCCATAGAGCCAGCGTTTGTCTGAAGACAATCTTCCATGGTCACATGGCCAGTGCGACTTAGACACGGAACGCTGTTACCTTCCCACCGAAGTGGTCCCTATTTATCTACTTGCATTTGCATGCTTTCGAACCGCTAGGTTGGCGGGAGCCCAGCTCAAAACCATGCCGCAAAAACACCCAGAACAGTTTTAAAAAAGCAGAAAACAGCACCTTACCTTACAAAGCAGCCCAAAGCCTCCCTGAAAACTCTCTCTCAGAATCAGAAGGAGGCAGTCCCAAGCCTCCAACGATGACACACTAACTCCTGGGGCGAAAGAGCTACAAAGAAGCAGCCTCGTCACCACCTACAGTTAGAAATTTGAATTTCCCGTCTTTTTCCCTGCCTTTTTTTCTGTTCATAAGTGGAAGCTCAGGTCGCAAGTAGAAGCAAAATTTTGCGGCCGGAGCTGGTCAAAACTCAAAATGGTCATAAGTAGGGTAGTTCATAAGTCAAAGCACTACTATATTAGGAGAGGCCTTCCTCTCGGTCCTGCCACCTTCAAAGGTGCGTCTGATAGGAACACAGGAGAGGACCCTCTCTGTGGCTTCTGCCAGATTCTGGAATTCCCTCCCACAGGAAGCCAGGCTGACCCCATCTTTGGTGTCCTTCTGAAGCTTTCCCTCTGTGACCGGCTGGCTGAGTGGGATTTTTTTCAATGGATGGATGGATAGAGAGATATCAATATCGTTCTTCCATGCATAGCAGATGGGGTGGGTGGGAAGTAGAGTGTGACTTGCCCATAGCTATTCAGTTAATACTGTAGATGCCATGCAACGCTCTTTCCTAATTCTCTGCAATTCACAAAGGTTCCTTGCCAGATACAGTAGGGCAGTGGGTCTCAACCATTCACCAACCAGACGCTTCTGAATGCCAGCTACCCTAGCCAGCAGAGCCAGTAGTCAGGGATGCTCAGAATTGCAATTTGAAATGCCTGGACTGCCAAGAACTGAGAACCACTGTTAGAAATGTATAGTTAGACATAGGCTGATGATTTTGAAAGGGTTCTGGAGAAGAAAAAAGTCTGACAATTTTGCTAGATGTAGCACTTGTCAGCAGGAATGTGCCATTTATTTTTGTTCAGCTAGTTTGTTTTACTCTAAATTCGAAACTTTTCCAAACAGAATTTTGTGAGTTCTAGCGCACAGACGCACACCTACAGGCACTTTCATTTACCTGGAGAAAGGCTGGAGTTTCTTCTAGGCCTTATTCCCTATTTTCAACCATGTGTGTGTGGATGTGGTTGATCAGGAGCTGCTTTCATAAAACATAAAGAGCAACAAGATTGCCATTCCTAGGAAGCATTGCAGTAGTTCTTCTTCATGGTCTCTGTGAATGCACACTAATGGGTTTAATCTGCGCCTGCGCAAAGATCTCTGGAATATTCTAGAGCTTTATGCTACATTTGTCAAGGACCACCCCCCTAGCCCACACGGTTCGCCCATCCTGGCAATCACCTCAGTTCCTTTTTGCTGCTGCTGAGGTCTCTCCTCTGTCAAGCTGCTGTTCGTCCATTGGGATATCTGAAAGGAATAATAACATCTATCAATCTTCTTCTCAATTATGATCTTCTTCTAGCTAAAGAATTGTAAGAGACTCTGTTTTTCCTTGACCATTCCCCCCTCCCCTTCCTGCCATTTATGGCACCACTTCCCCCCTTCAAAAAGTGCATGTCATGCTCGAACAAAATCCCTCTAACTGACATCCATAACATCTGCCTTTTCTGTCTGGGAGAATCACACTGAATGTCCTTGTGTCAGTTCTGTAAAAATTTCACCAAGCCAGCGCTCAAACTGAGACAGCAACGCCTTAGATCTTTTCTTTGGGAAAAAGCACTTCAGACTTCCCAAACTATGGATTCTCCCCACAATCCACAACCTCCAAGACAATCCTCAACTCCAACTACTGTCTCTCCGTCTACTAGATCAACCTCCAAGAGTTCCCAAAAGTCTAAATCTAAACCAACCAGTTTCACCAAATCAACTCCCATACCGAATATTAGACCATTCTAAATCAAAGAAGCGAAAGAAATCTGCTACCGACTCCCATCTGCACAGATCTGTACCAGATCAACTACCACTCTAGGATCAACCCACTGTACGTGTCAACTCCTCGGAAGAGACCTTTTTGCCTCCTTCTAGCAAACCTGAGTCTCCTATAGTCCTGGCTCGGTCTGCACATATTTCAGATGATGTCAGGATGAGAATTGAGGACTTACCTTTCAATGGTTTCGGTCTTTTCAATAAAAAAAAAATGAGATCCTGGAGAACCTGCAAAATTTGAAAAAGACAGCGCGCTCATACAATACCCAGCCATATTACAATGGTGTCACCGTACCCGTACCAGCAACCTAAATCATACTTTGACAGGAATAAATACTCATCCCAATCAACTACTTCATTCCAACCCAGGCATGTGGTGCAGCGTCAGCACCCCAAACAACCTTCCCACCGCCCTGAGAAAAAACAGAAACAGGGCCTTTGACTTTTTTCATTCCCCAGATCCGCGAAACTCACCTTCCTTCAACCGCAACCACTCGTCTATCAGCCCATCTTCCATCCTGGGCCTCTATCACAACCGATTCTTGGGTACTCACCATCATTGCTACGGGCTATGCCATAGAAATTTGCTTACCCACCTCCATCAAGAATCGTTCTAACATCACCATCTGCTGTTCTCAAACAGGAAATTCAGTCTCTCATCTCAAAGGATGCCATATCCCCCATCACTACCCCAGAAGACCACCCAGGCTTCTTCTCCCGGTACTTTACCGTTCCAAAATGGGATGGCAGACTTAAGCCCTATCCTTGACCTTCGAGAACTCAATTACTATATCATCCAAAGACGATTATGTATGGTCACAAAGATTGTCACAAAGAACAATTGGTTTGCTGTCATAGATCTAAGTGGCACATACTTGCATATCACAATCCGTCACGACCACTGCAAATTTCTCAGGTTCGCCGTAGGAGATCACACCTACAAATTCAAAGCCCTCCCCTTCGGCCTCTCTACAGAACCAAGAGTATTTACAAAATGTATGGCATCTGTAGTAGCTCAACTACGCACCCTAGGAATTTCGGTCTTTCCATACATAGATGACTGGCTCATAGTCTCTCTTTCTCGCCCTCAAGCTCTGAAAGATATCCAAGCTGGTGAGACTCTCTCTCCTTTCGGATCTGGGCCTAAAAATCAACAGTGAAAAATCAGTCCTCACTCCCACTCAGGCGCTCCTCAACTCTACCAAAGTAAGGGTTTTTCTTCCTCGAGAGAGGGCTGTCAAACTTCAGTCTCTCATCACTCATTTCCGTCCCAACTCCCGTGTCACAGCACATTCTGTTCAGCATCTCTTAGGCCTTATGACCTCTACAACCTCAACTATTCTACACGCCAGGCTGAAAATGCATTTCCTCCAGTCCTGGTATGTCAACCTCTTCAATTCCATGACAGAACCACCATCAAAACTACTCAAAGTCACTCCCGAGCTCTCCTGATCTCCACATACACGCTACCTGGTTCCACAAGGAATGCGACCTTCATATAAGCAACCTTGAGCTTCTAGCCATCTTCAAGGCATTCAGAGCCTTTGAGCCTATCATATGCGGCAACATCGTCCAAGTAACAACGGACAACATCACCGTGTTATTTTATGTCAACAAGCAAGGAGGCACACATTCTCTCCCACTTCTGTATCTTACAGTACAGTTTTGGGAATGGTGCCTTGAATGCCACATCTTTCCCATTGCAGTTCATATTGCCACACAGGACGATCTACTGGCAGACAAACTCAGGAGGCTGCATACCCAGGTGGACGAATGGTCTCTAGACCAGTCAGTGTTTCTTCACCTTTGCAAACTCTGGGGTCGGCCACAAATCGACATGTTTGCCACACCTCAAAATACCAAATGCGACCTTTTCTACTCAAGAGCGGGCATCGGACGCGGGTCGCTAGAAGACGCACTTATGGCGGATTGGACTACACACCTCATACACCTCTTCCCTCCCATTCCTCTGCTTCTCAGAACAACATCCAAAATCAAACGTGATCATACCAACACAATTCTCATTGCCCCATGGTGGCCAAGACAGCCATAGTTCACCATGCTCTGTTCCATCACCAACAATTACCTCCGCCTACCCCTCATTCCACACCTCCTCTCGCAACATCGGGGCAAGACCCACCACCCAGATCTCCACACCCTCCATCTCACAGCGTGGAGAATTCTTCCTCAGTGAATGCTATCCTCGCCAATGCCCGTAAACCTTCCACAATCAAACTCTATTCCTAGAAATGGTCTGTCTTCACCAAATGTGCTCTCCAACATAATCTTCCCACTAATCCAACACATTTACAAGCTGTCCTTCAGTTCCTCTCCTATCTATTTGATAAACAATTATCACTCTCAACTCTCAAGGCCTAATTATCTGCCATCATAGCCTATCAGCCTCAAGATTCGGAAGCTGCCATGATTTTTCGACACCCCACTCTCAAACATTTTATATGAGGTGTTTCCAATATGTGCCCTTCGGCTCCTCTACAATGGTCTCTATCCCTTGTTCTCCACTGGCTCTCCCATTTTCCGTTTGAACCACTTGCCACCATTTCGGAATACCTCCTCTCTCTCAAGACGCTCTTCCTAGTTGCCATCACCTCTGCTTGCAGAGCATCTGAACTTGCAGCCTTGAGAACTGACCGTTTCTCCAATTTCATCCCAACAAGGTCACCCTTTTTCCGGATGTCTCCTCCCTGCCAAAGGTGATGTCCCACTTCCACCTCTCCCAACCAATAATTCTATCTACGTTTTTCCCATCACCTACAACTGATTTGGAAAGATCTTTACACGCATTGGATGCTAGAAGAGCTCTTGCCTTTTATATCTCTAGAACCTCCTCTTTCCGTAAATCAAAAAGACTATTCGTATCACCACATTCCCCCTCGTAAAGGCTCTCATGTTTCTTCTCAAACGATTTCCTGCTGGATCATTTCCACCATAAAATTCGCATATCAACTTGCCAGCCAGCCTCTACCTATAGGTATTAAGGCTCATTCCACTAGAGCGACAGCTACTTCTGCAACATTCCTTTGTGGAGTTCCACAAAGGAACATTTGCAAAGCTGCAACATGGGCAACACCTTCCACGTTTGCCACTCACTACAGACTGGATTTAAAAGCCAAAAAGGATGCATCGTTTGGGAGAGATGTGCTGTCTTCAATCGTTCCGGGATGTCCCTCCACCTATAAGGTAAGCTTGTTAGTCACCCATTAGTGTGCATTCACAGAGACCATGAAGAAGAAAGAGAGGTTACTTACCTGTAACTCTGGTTCTTCGAGTGGTCATCTGTGAATTCACACTTCCTGCCCGTCCTCCCCTCTGTCCGTCACTCCTGTATCTTTTGATGCAGCGGCAGGCTGTTCTTAGCAACTGAGGTGATTGCCAGGACGGGCAGACCTTATGGGCTGGGGGGGGTGGTCCTTGACAAACGTAGCATAAAGCTCTAGAATATTCTGGAAATCTCTGCACAGGCGCAGATTAAATCCATTTGTGTGAATTCACAGATGACCGCTCGAAGAACTAAAGTGACAGGTAAGTAACCTCTCTTTTTCTTGTAGGAAGCATAGGGACAGGAAGAAAGGACTAGGCCTCAGCCTTTCTCCAGGTATGTGAAATGAAGGTGTTTGCAAGTGTGTCTTTGTGGACTGGAACTCCCAAAATTCTGCCTGGAGAATTCTGGACACCCATTTGTGTGAATTCACAGATGACCGCTCGAAGAACTAAAGTGACAGGTAAGTAACCTCTCTTTTTCTTGTAGGAAGCATAGGGGCAGGAAGAAAGGACTAGGCCTCAGCCTTTCTCCAGGTATGTGAAATGAAGGTGTTTGCAAGTGTGTCTTTGTGGACTGGAACTCCCAAAATTCTGCCTGGAGAATTCTGGGATTTGCTGTCCAAAAAACAAACATTGAATACCAGTTATCAAATTGGATAGAGTAAATTCTGGAGTATTAATTTAACTAAAACCTGGATCAGTTATAATTGATAGATACATGCAAAAGTCCTGTTCATTGAAATAAATTACTAAAAATTGTAAATTCTCTTTATATTCTAACTAATATAGCCAGTGCCTGGAAAACATCAGCCCATTTTAGAATGTCTAGCTATTGCCTATTCAACAGGAGAAGAAAGCCTTTATGAAGCTTGCATGAAGTAAGTAAATAGCAAGTATTTGATTGTTTCTGTCGATTTTACATTGTAAGAATAAACTTTTTAAAGCTCATGCAATTTTTTGATGAATTCTTTGACCTGTGTTGCAAAAACAGATGTACCAATGGGGACTTCATGTGACATTCATTTTGATGGAAGGATTGACTTATTTATACAAGGTGTTTTCTTTAACAGGTGGCTAGTACAGAATTTTGTAAGATGTTGGTCAGATAAGAGGTTTGCCACTTTACCTGCTGAGCTTCAGAACAATTGTCTTAAAATGTTGGTGCATTCATTGGTAAGTTTGTGTGGTATTTTTTAAAATACAGAAATATGGACATAATGACAGTTTTAATGTGTATACTAAGCTGCTTTGATACAAATCACTGGCATCAATAATTGATCAGAGCCCATTATCTAAATCTGCCCCATTATCTAAATCTGTCCCATAATCTAAATCTGGCCCATCTATCTAAACAACGACAGCCCTGCCATTAGCCCTGATGAGGTGATCAGTTAATGAGGCAAAACATTGAGTGTAGTAGTGGAGCCACCACTGCCACCCATTGCACGTTGCCAGAACCATCGACCACCAGAGCTTGAAGGCCACGTCTCAGCTAAGACGAAGAAGAGGGAACGTAGGCATTTGATAGCAGCTCAGAAGAAAATTAGGGACGTGGTGGTCGATGCGGGCTAAACTGCAAAAGCCTGTGCTGCAGGGTCAGAAGACCAGCAGTCGTAATATCAAATCCACGTGACAGAGTGAGCTCCCATCGCTTTGTCCCAGCTCCTCGCCCACCTAGCAGTTCGAAAGCATGCAAAATGCGAGTAGCTAAATAGGTACCACCACGGTGGGAAGGTAAAACGGCGTTCCCTAGTCATGCTGGCCACGTGACAACGGAAACTGTCTTCGGACAAGCGCTGGCTCTACAGCTTGAAAACGGGATGAGCACCGCCCCCTAGAGTCGGACACAACTGGACTAAAAATGTCAAGGGGAACCTTTACCTTTACCTTTTACCAGAAGAAAATTAAAACAGTAGTAGCACTTACTGGGCTTTGCTGACAAAGAGACAGAGCAGCCATTGCCCCTGGAGGGTCCTTGTTGCTCCACAGTCCCTCTCTGGCAGAAGAGTTAGCACTCCTCTGCGAATGTAACTACACGGTCAGAAACTACAGGATTTGCTCTGTTTATAAAACAGCGAATTTGAAGTATTTTTTACGGACTGCATGACACAAAGGCTGATTCAAGTTGGTCCAGCTCTTTTTTGCTCCCAAAGCGGCTTTTCTTCTCTGCCTCTGTAGGGCTTCTACTTTTCCAAGCTAGAATAATCCAAACAGACTTACTCCCATATGGTTGGCAGTGATACATACTTGTAGACATGGGGCATGTCTGTAGCTCATGTTTCAGTTCTGTGTGTAAGTGGGGCATGATGTTCAATCCCAGGGGTGGAGGGAAATGCAAAAGCAAAGCACTATGATTATAATGTGGAGTATTGGGTGCTAGTGCTGAATCCTGTCAAACAGTAAGCTTCAGATCATGTGGGAAGGTCCTTTTGTTGTGAAGCTCCAGGGGCCATTCTTACTGTCTTCAGGATACACATTCATCCAGCCCTTTTTTGCTACCAAAGCAGCTTTTCTTCTCTGCCTCTGTGGGGCTTCTACTTTTCCAAGCTGGAATAATCCAAACAGGCTTACTCTCATATGGTTGGCAGTGATACATTCTTGTAGACATGGGGCATGTCTGTAGCTCACTTCCTCTGCCTCTTACTCCGCTTGGCGGAAAATCTGTTGCGGCCCAGCCTCACCCAGACTCTGTCTCTAGCGGCCCCCAGGTAAATTGAGTTTAAAACCCCTGCTGTAGCTGATGTTTCAGTTCTGTGTGTAAGTGGGGCATGATGTTCAATCCCAGGGGTGGAGGGAAATGCAAAAGCAAAGCACCATGATTATAATGTGGAGTATTGGGTGCTAGTGCTGAATCCTGTCAAACAGTAAGCTTCAGATCATGTGGGAAGGTCCTTTTGTTGTGAAGATCCAGGGGCCATTCTTACTGTCTTCAGGATACACAGAGAGGCCCCCATTACTCTGAAAAATAACAGCAGTGGCAGGAAAGGAAGCATTTAAAGTAAACATCTTCTCAAATTGATTATTAGCACCTTAGAGATAATTAGGTGGTTCATGAGTAAGCATTATGTCTGCCCTTTGAGTGTTTATATTGCCACATATCTTTTAGACTGTGGGGCTCAATACGGGGGTGGGGTGGGGTGGGGGTGACCATCAATATTTTGTGATCTGGGGCACAAGTTCTCTGCAGTTAAAGTTTGCTTTATTTCAGTTCAGGGATTACGGTGTTGAAGAATGGTACAGGAACAATATACCTGGTGTTGATTAGAACATGCATGTATTCTTTTGTTTTTAGAGCCCACAGAATGCAGCCCATCTTCTGATGGAAACAAACCAGCTGATCAACAGTCTTCCACAAGTAAAATGGACTGAAACTGCTCTTGCCTTGGCATCCAGGCTGCAAGAAGAGTGTGTAGAGTTCATGGTGACAAATTTTCCAGAAATAATACAAAGTGAAAGTTTTTGTATCCTGTTACAGGTAAAATATACTGTATTTGAATTATACCAACACCAATTATACCAATAAAATGCTATAGGGTATATTTATCTATTTCTAGGATCTTGGCTCTCAAAGAAGAATGGAAGGTGAGACAGGGCTAATCTTCCTAAGAAGCCAGGCCCATTCAGTGTTTACTCTCCCCTGTTGGTCATCCAGCAGCCCAGTGGTTTTATAAATTCCTTAGATTATATTATTTCATTTACTGTTGTGTTTTCAGTTTATTTGTTTTTATAGTTAAAGTTTTTCTTTTTAGACAATCATTTATTATTATCTACTGCTTTGGGCACCACTTTTTTGGTGGAAAGCTTGGGTATAATTTAAATAAATAAATGCTTTTTCAGATGAAGAAATTCTGGCTCTTTGGATGCTCTTGGGAAAAGCTTTAAGATTTTGTTTGTAATTTACAATTGTATGGTTTTCTTCTGTCCAAAGACATCCATAATTTAGACAGTCATTTTGTCAAGCTTGTGACCTTTTTTGGTTCTATAAACTGTTGAGTTTCTAGTGCCAGTAGTCAGAAGTGTTGAATGGTTTAATTTTCATTAAGTCACTCTGAGTATAAATGTTCTAAACAAACAGATATGACTGCACTTCATCTTGCGTAGAATAACAATTGGATTATTTTTTGTTTTTGTCTTTCTCTGTTCTAATACAGAAGCAGTGTTTTCAGTTATGCTTTAATTACTGCAAATCAATTGTGCCCATAAGGCATGAACAATTAGATGGATGTTCTTAGGATTATGAAGAATGAACATCTTGCTGCTTTGAAATAAATCTGTGTTTCAGTGTTACATAATACTATTTCTCTCCAGAACAGTGCATAGATAGGTCACTGAGAATCAAGGTCAACAGTCTGAATGTAGGGTGAAAAGATGAAGATATGCAGTAGTACCTGTCACTTAGGTTGGCCTGCTCATTGACACCTGGGCTGCTGAAGAAAGCAGGAAATAGATTTCTCATCTTCACATGAGTCACATGCTATCTATGGGACCCAGCTGCTACTGCCTGCTATGGATTATCTTTCCCATCCTTCACAGTTCCTAGTTCTACTCTGACTTCCTTTTTTAGCCCACTTCCCTGAAAATAGGGCTTTTCAGAGCATCCCTACAGTGCAAGAGTCTAAGACAGTGGTTCTTAACCTGGGCGATAATGCCCCCCAGGGGGCGATTTCATTTTTCAGGGGGGTGGTAGAACGAAAAGGGGCGGCGTGG